GCAAAGAGCAATGGATAGCGCAATCAGGAAAGCAAAATTAATTAGGAGCATTGGCACAGACTCCTGCTTAGTATTAGGGGGCCACAAAATAGCAAGAATGGATCTTGGAAAGGAGACAGAGAGGGACAGAGAGGGACAGAGAGGGACAAAGAGGGACAGAGAGGGACAGAGAGGGAGAACCAGGGTCTCGCGGTCTCGCCGAAGAGAGAGAGGGAGAGAGGTATCTTTTGGGGAGGATTGGAGATGTTTTTAATATTAGGGGGAATTCGGGTTATTTTTGCTGTCCCCCTAATACACCTAAAATCTGGGGCACCCCCGACTGTGGACCCACGAGTATTGAATTTCAAAGGGAGCAATTTCAAAACGCTACTAACAATTTTTTGGGGTCGGGCACATGTGTTTTTATTAATTGGGGTACGTTTATTAATAGTAACTCGGGATTAGCGTCCTTGCTCCGTTCGTAGCGATGCCAAGAGCCCCGTTCGTAGCGAACATTGCTACTCTTCATCTGGAAAGATGCTTTCATTTGCCTATGTGGCCCATTCGGAGCTCATGATCCTCCTTCCCCTTCACCAGGCACTGCGTACCCAAAACAAGATCGCAGGCTTTTTCGAAAGGTCCTCCCTCAGACGGCGTCACCACAGCAAGACGCCTTCGTCGATTCCTCGACGACGTCTCGTCTCGTCTCTGCATCCTCGTCACCGGGACGTCGCTTTGGAGTGACGTTAACTTCTCCTCGCCTGTTGGTCCTCCTCGGTGGCGCTAAAGGTAATGGCCAAGCCCTGGCAGAAAGAAAGACTTCCAGCCGATATCTGGATTCATTGTCAAACGGATGACCTAAAAGTACGTGAGGCTACAACTGCATCAGCCGTTCAACTTGATTTAGACCGATGCCATGGTCTCCGCCACCGTCTGCCTTCGTTCCGAAGCGCCCCGCACGACCCACGCGGTGTAAGTACATGTCACTGTCCTGCGTGGCCAAGCCGTTGGGGCCAAGAACTCCACGCAGCTGAGGGGCGAGAGTTCGAGAGTTCTTCTGTGAGGATGTCAAGGAAAACATGCCAGGAGTTTCTTCCAGAATTGTTTTTTGCAAGTGTTCGAGGTGTTTTACTGAGGATGTCTTGCTTCATGGCAAACTGGGATGCAAATTCAGCAGTGTGTTTAACCCCTGTGGCACCCACCCCAACCGCCTGTGAAAACGGAGGGGGCGGCCAGGAGCCCAAACGGGCATATTTGCAACAGGTTGTTCGCAATGACCGCAGTCATCCCACATGATCTGTTCTGTTCACCCGAAGGTTGCTTCGCCAAAGTCACTGGTGGCCGGTGGTCAAAGAACCAACACGTGAAGCAAAGCGTGATGACTTGGATTTGATCGAGGGCCCCGGAAAAATCTGGAACATAGGATCTTGTATGCAAGGCTTTCATGGCGTTCATTGGCTTTCCATGGTGTTTTTTCGTGAGGGTATGATCACCTCAAAGTACCCCAAAATAATCCAGGCAAGAGGAGAGATTCAGCGGCTTCCAAAGCTCCTCAGGCATGTCATAGTTGATGACCTTGGCACAAGATGCATCCATCGGCGCAATGATGATTGAGTCGCGATGATCTGCTATGATTACTATAGCAGATATGCCATGCCATTGGTGGAGTCTTGAAATGATACATGGACATAGACTACACATGTGATTCTTTTTGACCCTCTTTGAAACTCCTGGTCTCTCCAGCCACATGGTGTCACACCGTCACTCGAGCAAGGGGCGATGTTCACCTTCTCAACGTCCATGCCGCGGCCGAACAAGTCCGTGGCCACCAAGATACGCTTCTTGAAGGCCTAGGAAAGCGTGATCTCGTGATCCACCGAACGAAGCGAGTCTTTCCAAGGCCTCAAGATGTCTTATCGTCCTTGTTACGCTCGTAGCGAACCTTGTTCCTAGTTTGTTTGTGCCAGGAGCTACGTTCGTAGCGTCCGATCGCTCCGTTCGTAGCGATGCCCTTTGTTCCTAGTCCTGAAGATTCTTGAGAGCATTCTCCGAACCACACCTTCGCGAAAGCGCCGACCGAAAGCGCCGGCCTTGAAGGCTTGGAGTCGCTCGATCCGCGAGGAATCCGCGGTCAAAACGTCTCCCTTCTTGGCCTGGCGGATTGAGAGGCGTGCCGAGCAAGCGACCTGGCGAGGAACCTGGGATGGGTGTGAGGGGTGAAGGGTGACGGAGATAAAAACATAAAAAGAAAGGAAGACACATTTAAGACACAAATGCTCATGAGATGTCTTTATCCACTTGGGCTTTAGTGTTGGGAGCGGAAAAGGGTAGACTGTTGAACACTCAGGTGGTTCCGCTTGTTCTTTATGAAGACCTTGGCGGGTCGAATGCGCTTTCCAAAACACTGAGTGGCTGGGGGCTATTTGGAATGTCCACGTGGGATTTACTTGGATTTACCGTTGTCGAGTGAGCCAAAAAAAACAAATGGTTGAATGGTAGTCCAGTCGTTCCGAACGACCTCAGAATGAACGACCTCGCACGAGACTGAGGACTCTTTCCTCAGTCTTGTCAGTCTGGCTGAATCCAATCTTCAATCGCCGACCAGGCCTTGTGCGCAAAAGCCTTGGGCATCGGGTGCAAAGTCATCGATGGAAACTGGTGATCCTGGCCAGCGCTGGAAGGCTTGCTGTTTGATGTCTACGTGCATCCACTAAAACTAGGCCGGGTGGTTGAACATGGGCTTGAGGGTTACCTGATCTTCCTTGGGTTTGACACCATTTCTGAAGACCAAACCAGTTGCAAAATTGGGTTGCAGTGGTTGCGGGCCAAAGGTGGCAAGTCGCTCTGGCGCTACATGGAGTTTTTGCTCTCCAGGCTTGTGTCATCATATGGTTCGCTCAAATGAGAAGCCTTGCTTGGAGCTTGGATCTGAGAATGGGCAATTCTACTGTGTAAAGGTCTTACTGTACTTTGGGTTTAGTGAGTATCTGGACATCTTGCATGGATTCTATCTGGACATCTGCATTAATTCCAACTGCAAAGAACATGGTTTTGCTCGCCCTCCAGTTCTAGTCTCCCCTCCACCTCACCCCTCCACCCTCTGCAACAGTCTTAGGCAAGAACGTCAATTAAAGACTCTTCATCAGTTTTGGTTGCTACCGGTTTGCTGAAATCAACCTTCAGCTCAAACTATTTTTGCACTAAATACACCCCAAAAAAGCAAGAACTAAACAACCGCGAAAGGCCTCATTCCTCCATCATGAAGTCCTTTGCTGGTTCCACAGCTCCCAAAAACCATTCTCCAGGCCATCTCATGACGCAGAAATCTGATGGATCGGATATCTTCATCTCAATCCAACCGACCCAACCACCCCAACCCCACCACTTCATCGCTTCATCTCTGTCTATTGCCTGTAGAAGTCCATCCAGGGCCATGGCCCGTCGCACGGTCTTCACGAAGATCACCACCTCCCCCGCGCAGCGTGGCACGGTGGAGCTCACAGCCGAAAAGAATCACCTGAGAAATTGCGTGGGTGCCTTCTCAAACTTCCGCGCGCGTGTGTGTGTATATATATATATGCATCACAGCACTGTGCATGGCACACAAAGCAGTGCCCAATAAGCCTCAAGGATCCAGCCATAGCCATTTCTGCTTGAATGCAAGTTGGAGCACTGCCCTACCAGCTGTTTGCAGGGTCGTAGTAGAAGCTACCTATGGCCCCCAAGCCCTGGATCAAACCACACCCCAAACTCCCTGGCCTGATTAAATTCCAACATGTCTAACAAGTCAAAGAGCTTCTTGTTCTTCTGACGCTCCTCCAGTCTGATGTAGTACCTTTCCAATACATTCTCACCTCCATGGCGTTTTCACGCCACTCTTGGGTCTCGGGGTCTTGGTCAAACACACGGCACGTGCTGAGTTGCTGGAAAACAAGAAAGGAAGTCTACCAGCCCCTTTGTAGGGTTTATTGGCCCCTTTGCCACCCTGATCCAGCAATGCCACACAAACGCATGATTTAGATCCCATTCTTCCCATGTCGAACAACGGTGCCAGGCTGTCGATTGATTTCAGCCTGTCTTTCGTGCTGACAAGACCATTGCAAAGAACACACCGATTTCTGCGAACAGCTTCTGACTGAAGCACTGCCCTAGGTTTAAAGATCAAAGGCCAAACACATCAAACATTGACTTCCTGACACTGACTCAAGGCTCAGATCGGTGTCTTCTTTTAAAGATCGGTTTCTTTCGATCCTTCGAGCTTCACGTCGACGGACCGAAACGGAACCGTCCAACTCGACCGAAACGGACCGAAACGGACCGCGAGCGACGTCACAGACCGTCCCTCACCACATCGAGCCCTCCGCGTCACTGGAGGAGCCCGTGCAAGGTCAGCTTCGACTCGTCCACGGTGATCTCGTGTGGACCTGAAAACAGAGCGACGCGTTGTTGAAGCGATCCGAAAGACCATGAGGGGTCATTTGCATTTTACGTATGGGATTCTAGGTGGTGCAGAATTTTGGCTAAGTAGTGATCCCAAATGGCCTTCAACAGGAGTCTAACAATTCATAACAATTCCAACTGAAAGAATGGCTCAATCCCAGCTCGGAGAAGAGTAGACGGGCAGTGGGCAAGTTCGAATCGAAAGCTAAAACATTCAGATCGAAATAGTTTGTGAAGAGTAAATGGCACATGATGGCACAATTCCCAAGTTTGGTGGTTTATATGAACCCCTCATCTAAAGGACATGCAAGGGTTTATGCCATCTACTCTGAAACTAGTGTCAAAAAACGACGGCTTGTGCATCAAAAGGTGTATCAACATGGTTAACATTGTTTAACAATGAAATGGAAGGTGCGGTTCCGCCTGTGAAACTCTGAACGCCGTATGCCCTCAACAAATCACACCCCTGCCAGCCGGACTCATCGACCGAAAAAACACGCAAATGAGAAACAAAATTAACAAAAGAAATTCTGTGGCTCCGAGCCCTGCATGAACTTCTTGCAAATGTCCCGAGTATCTGCACTCAAGGTCGCACTAAAAATCATGACCTGACAGCAGACGTTGAAACTGGGTCGCAATCACACAACTCTTCCGATGGAATCATCCAAGAACGAAACGAGAAACGGGGAAAACCTCCTTTTTCCGGCCACCGATAGTGGGTGCCGATGGCGGGTTCGTGCACCGGGCCCGGGACGCTCCACTGAATCCACCGAACTTTGGGGCTTGCCAAAGAGTTCTGCACCGAACTTGGGGACAAAGACATCTGCCAGACATCTGCGAGGCCTTCAGTTGATCTGAGACCTTGCAACCCACCGCGCCAACCGCTCGCGAGCGCTCCCGAAACTCTTTTCCAGCTCTCGGTGCATTTCGCTGCAGTTTACCTGGGTGAGAAAAGCAGGGTGACCTGCATGATCCTTCATACCCTTAACAAGGGACGAAATACCTTGGCATCCGTTCCCAGCTGCACTGCCACTCATGGACTGCACGTTCAACCTTTGCATGCTTCCCTTGTGGAGATTCCTGCTTTCCACCATGCTAAAGAGAAACATCTAGCAGTAGTGCAGTTGCCTGGCGATGCCTTAAGATCAAACGAGAATTTCTGGTTTATTGGTACGTGCAAAGGGTACCCTGCCAGAGTACCTAATTATTCGACCTATGTCGACATGTCACTATCCAAAGTAGTGGGGCCCCAGAGTTCCTTCGGGATCTCGTGGAGCTCACACAAATATGCATTGAGAAAACTGGTTATAATATGTCAACCCACCGGAACGGCCCAACAAATGCGTGCCGCCCTCAGTTCAGGTGGTCGCCCAGCCTGCTCTCACGCACCCTCAAGGCCTTGGTTACTTCAGTCTCGTCACGCAACTTGGTCTCAGCCTCATTGGAACCAAGAGTGTTGTTTGGATTCGGCAAGCCTTGCATAAAGATCTCGGCCGGGGCATGCATGATTATCACTGTGCGGGAGATCTCCTCTGGATTCTGGGGCTTGCCCACCACTACTGCTCTGGTAACTTGGTGATAGACGCTGTTGTCTTTGAAGTAAAGACCCTCTCGGTTGTGCAAAGCAAACTCGTCACCCAGGGGGTCCATGCCATCCAATGAGCCATGGAAGAGGTTCTCGGCACCTTCGAGCTTTCCTCCTCGATGCAAGCACACGATCATGGCACGATCTGCCCCATCGGTGTGGATGCCTTGCCCAGTTACGCTGGCACGACTCTTGCCATATTGAGCTTGGTCAAAGTGGTTGGTCTGGATCTGAACGAGGATGGCCGTCTTCTCTGGAATGCTGTAGTATTTCGCAAAATTCAAGACCACTTCGGCAATCGGGGCCCCAGGATCAAAGAGGCATTCATTGATTAACGCATAGTATCTCCGATATCCACCTGAGAAGTCATTGTACTCTGCATCCTGAACGAAGTAGTTCTGAGTGAAGGGCTGCACTCTCCCGTTGATGATGGTAACAAATCGAATGGCCTTCTCACGCCTGGCAAAGTGTTTGCTGCTGGGGTCATCGTCCAGCACCACATTCTGCAAAATCTGCTGTCTCTCTGCCTCCGGCATGACATCCTGGATGTGCTCGAACATCGGTTTGCCATCCCAATCTCCAGGAGGTAGGCCCGTAGTCGGGGTAGGTGTCTTTTCAAAGGCCTTTTCGACATTGACAAGAACCTCCTCTGTTGGTTCCACACTCTCGACCGCACAGAAGTTGTTGCCCATGGCACCGAGATAAACTCAGAGCTGGCCTAAACTCAAATCGGATCTGAAAGGCCTAGGCAAAAGGAGGCAAAGACCAAGCAGACCACTTGCTTTGGAACTCAACAAACATGTCCTGCTCTTCTTCTCCAGGCGAGAAGCCCGAAACGGCGATCGTGCCTGCTTCTTCTTGGGCGTTCGGATGAAGATCTGCTGTACATCTCTCCGAAGGTCCAACTGGTCGATACACCTGGGGTCGATCGGCGAGGGAAGCTATTAAAAAGTATCCTGGTCGATACACCTGGTGAAATGGAGGAATTGGTATATTCACAGAAAGAAACGCCTCTTCCATGTGTTTCTGTCTTTGTTGCTTTGGCGGAGGGAAGACGAGCGTGCGCGATTTCGCGATGGCATTTCGCTCAGTCAGTGCCAGAATCGAATCCGCCAATGGCGTGGAGACTTCACCCAGTAAACAGAAGGATCCAGTTTCGAAACAAACAATTGAATTGTGATTTCTGGACAATGAGTCCGGAAGAACAAAAAAGTCTCCTGGTCAGGTTGTCTGTGACATGATGATCTGACGTTCTCACCTATCGCACTCGTCGAGGACAAAGGTGCTCAGACCTGAAGTGCACGGTGAAGTGGCTCTGGCGAACACGATGGCGAACACGGCTGGATGAAAATGTCCGGCACTGCTGGATGCATTGCTTTACACATCAAGAAGCTACTAGTAACAAGTGCATCGCTTCTAGTAACAAGTGCCTTACTAGTAGGAACAAGAAGCTACTAGTAACAAGCTACATGTTACCACCGTTCCGTTCTATGGCTGCTCATAAGGGTATGTGTTGAAATAGAAGTAGAGCCTCCAGCCAAACAGGTGGTTGGAAGAAGAATCAACAAGCAAACCCCAGTGCTTCAACACAAACATGTCAAAATGGTCTCCGGTCTATCTCCTCTCCTTCTTTCGTTGAAAAAACAAAAACAAACCGCTTAACGGCAGGTTTCGCCAAAGAAGAACCCTGGCAGGAGTCGAGCTCCGAGCCATCGAGCTTGAGGATCTTATCCTTGGCAAGTTGAAGAACTCGTCCAGGAGTGCCCACCTAGACATGACAAAAGAAGCCCACCCTGGATGAGTAGGTGTAGAGGTGTCGCCCAAAAGCAACATCTTGCCTTGAAACAATCGTTCAATTTGTTTCTATCTAGTTGGGGACCATCATAAAGGACGAAGAAGGACAAGTTTTTGATTCAATCGCTTTTTGGTGCTTACAGGACTTTGAAATAAATCAGCAAATTGAATCAGTCGAAGCTTCAGTGAGGGATACCTGATGAAGAGGTCCAATTGAAGCATCTGCTATGCTCTTCTCGCTAAAGTGGCCAAACAGCAAGCGCGTTTTAAAATGGGGTGGCACATAGGTAGAAGGACTTCTCATCCGACTCGCAAAGGAACGTCGATAGACGGATCGGCGGGTCGCCCCATCACTCGACGGATGATTCGGCGCCACGACGGATGATTCGGCGCTCAGCCCGGCGCCACGATGTGTGGGCAACGGCTGTCTTTGAGCAATTCCTGAAGCACAGGGCGAAGAACTATCGATGAAAAGCCAGATTCAGCAGATGCAGGCGGAGGGTTTTCATACTTTCAGCTTAGACTCAAATAATAACCCACTAAAATTCACGAAAAATCACGGAATTTTGAACAGTTGCACTTTAGACATTATATTGAGTGACAATGGGCCCACTCACCCGTGTTCGTGAAGGAGACTGAACAAGGATTCAGTCGACTCTGCCAGACCCGCGTTTTCGGAGGAGTCGATCCTTCGTCGACTCGGCTTGTTTTTGAACGAAGGCTGAACAGTCCATGGAACCCTCCAACCAACCACAAAACCACCCTTCGCGAGATTGAAACAACGGGATATATGAGCAAACACGGCGTGCTCTATTTGTCTGTCTATCAGTATGAGCTTGTGAACGAGATAGGGCACCCGCATAAACGAGATACTTTGTCATCATTTTCTTGATGATGATGACACTATATGCAGGAGGTAGTTGCGACCATCAAGGGCGCAAAGTGTACGGAATCAAGAATCCTCTTGAGGTATCTCCTCAATCAAACTAGTCGCAATATCCCTGAGTACCACGCTATGGCGTGGGCCATCATCTGCCAAGCAATGCCATCTAAACGATTTACACATATTTACACCATTCCTTTCTACCAAAATCCCCAAATCCAATAAATCTCATTCCATCCGTTGCACCTGCACGGTTGAGATCTTTCTCTTTCTCAGACTTCGCACCCTCCACATCCCTCCACATCCCACGCTTCGATCCACCACGGATACTCCTCTCGCCTTGTCCTTCTCCAAGGGCTGACCCCCAAAGACCGAGCCCGTCTGGTTCGGAGACGCGTCGACGCCGTCCGACTCGGACCGGGGTGTTTTTCAGAAACTGGCGTCCAGCTGCCTTGGAGATAGCTACGGAATCTGCGTACTTAACGTACTTCACGTTTAACAAGCAACGGAATCTGCACAGTTCGCAACATGAAGGATGAAGGAATGAGACTGCGGGTCGGGCGGCCCCCACGTCAAAAACTCTCCCATCGATGTTTTTTCGTGGCATCCTCAGTCATGGTCAGTCCGGTGAGGAGTCCAACACGCGGCGTGTGTGCTGTGTGTTGTGTTTCAATATGAACACAATTTAGACCCACTGTTGATAGACAAACAACATAGAAACACTCATTATCGCTGCTATGTAGTTACCAGTTGCAACCAGCAAATGACATCATCATCAAAAGGCTATCCTAAGAACAGTTTTAATTCTCAAAACAATAAACAGGCAGTGGTTCCCGGTCTCAAAATATGGATCCCCCAATTCATTGGTGAACTCATCGATGGCTTCACATACCAAGGCAAACATAGGCAAACAAGGATCGCTCTATGTCCTGTTCCGCTTTCGGCCAGCTCTTCCCGTGGCAGAGTGGTGTCACTGTTTGAAGAAAAGCTAGAGATCCAGAAATTCCAAAAGTCACTCCAAGATCTCCAATCCCAGACCATCCGAACTGGAATAGCTACTTACATCACAGTATGGGGTCAATGTATGCAACTCTTCCAGTCCCATGCGTCTCGCTGCGTCTGGTATGCAGAATGGGACTGATATCTTCCGCCTTGAGGCCTTGAAGATTCTTCCCCAGACGTTTGAACTCCAGCTCGATCTGAAACCTGCAGCTGCAGGAAGATACAAACGCTCAGAAGGGATCCACCGAGGCATCCAGGATGGGGCCCATCAAAAGGTACGGTTTAATGCATGTGACTTCTACAGCGCGAGAACCTTCTACAGTCTGAGTCTGGATGCGGCAGTCCCATGTCTCCTGGAACACCAACGAACACCCAGATCGAGACTTTCCAAGGACGAAGTCAGGCGCAGCAAAGGAGTTCCCCTTAGACAAACGAGGTTTCCCCTCAGATCCTGCTACGTTCGTAGCTTCTTGCTACGTTCGTAATGGCCTCCAACCAGGTAGCGATGGCCACCTAAGAGCGATGGCCTAGAGGAGCGGAGAGGTCCACCATCCGAACGTTTCATCACCGAACGTTCCGTGCCGCAGTCGACGTCGTCGCGGGTTCCCGGAGACGTCGAACGAGTTCCGTGGTGAACGAACTGCTTTGGTTCCGTTCATCGCCCGGCATCGCCCCGAGGCGTTCCGTTCCGTTCCCTGCCGCGAGTCATGGGGCAGATTCGAACGGAACACCCGTCTCTTCTAAAAGATCACATGCTGATTGCTGATAGATAAAGGCGAAGACTTGTAGCTTGATGTACACTCCCTGGAACTAACATGGAAGTGGAAAACACCCTGTTTGTAGAGGAAAATGGTCTTCCAAGGGGCCATGTTCCACTTCCCAGAGAGTGTAGCTTCATAACACCACGACCACCGCACCGTCTTCCAACACTCTGGTCTGGGGCCCATCTGGCCAGCTGCTCTGAGGTCAGCACGCGAGTTCGCGCGTGTGGCAAACCACCAGCACTTGGACTGCCTTGAAGCTGAGAGTCACGAGTCATGAGTATTTCGAGATATTGAACGAAGAAATAAAGGAAATCCTTGTGGCTTCATCTTTCATCCACTCCAATACTCAATACTCCGCGCCCCCAACAAAAGGCATCGTGTGAATTCTTGTGACATGTATGGTGTCGACTCCCTTCGCCATCTTTGCCAAGCCACGGTCTTGGAGACTTCTAAGTTCTGAAGGCAAGCCAAGACGAAAACCGCAGTCTTGCCCATGCCACTTTTCGCCTGCCGATGTCGGAGTCGTGCCATGGAGGATGGCGATGGCTGAAGATCAAGTCTTGAAGGGCTCGGGACTCGTGCTTTTTGCCATGTGTTTCGTTGATCAAGTGGGGAAGCAAATTCTTCACTCCTCAAAACTGCGGATGACAATGGGTAGGTCTTCTCTGAACCAATTCCCTAAGTTCAAACATGCTGAACCATAGATATGCAGTAACCACTACAGTAACCATATAGTGTCATTGATTCTTCTTCGATCAACTGGGTAGAGACAAGAACGAGGAAACCATAACCCTCCCTTTTGCGATGAAATCGACCTCTATAGGGTGTCCCACCGCCTCTGCTGGGTCTTCCTTCTTGGCTGTTCAACGCGGTCCCTCCTTTTTACATCTTTCCACTCAGCGGAGACCTGAAACATCCAACATCCACACATTCACGACCTGTGTGTAGAGACGGTAGATGGCAAACATCTCATCATCCGAGACTAAGGAGGTGAATGAAGCTTGGCAAACATCACCATCATCACACGGTCAGCTCTCGCCAGATTCTGCCCCCGCCAAGCCCATCTCGCCTGGCAAAGAACATCGGTTCCTAACATGGCCTGCGGCAGGCAAGCATGCTGTACCTGCACACGACCACCATCGCGGGTAGAAAGGCCCATTGCAACATGAAAACTTAAAATGCGCACCTGCGAGCTCAATGCATTTTGGTGGGCTTGGAAGCACTCCACTCACAAGGGCCAGAGTTTCAA